TTTGTAAAAGTACAGGTAAGGACACTTGTAGCAGCTGATATGCTGACATATCCTTGTGTTAGTTAAAATCTTCCAAAGCCTTTCGTTTGCTAAGTGTAAGAAGTAGATTAAAGATCAGTACAAAATATTCGTTTATTCGTTACCTGCTTCTGCTGCCAGTTGGGTCAGCTGCAAAACTCACACTGAGAAAATATTAGCACCTAACATGGCTTTTATTGAGCAGAGTAAAGAACTGTGGAAGGGGCTTAATACTGCTTAGCTTCAAAATTGATGAGGATATAATAGATTTTTAAAACTTTAATTTCATTATTGGAGTGGGAACTTCAACTCGCATGATGCGTGATTAACCTGCTATAGAAAGTGTCCTACTATTGCATTTGAGTTGGAGTTCTCTGACTCCATAGTGAACACTGACAAGAAGTACCATTCATTTGAATAATAAAACTTGCACTTTGTTATTGTGATAGTGCTTACTTTTGACATTAAAAAAAAGGAAAAATTGAAACTCAGAAACTCATACTCTGGAAAAGTCTGATTGTAACAGTTTATTCAAATCAAGAGCTAAATCGCACAGTGGCTTCTCAGAGGAAAATGTTTTCACCTCTTGCTACCCAACCTTGCTTAGCCTTGTAAAATCAAAACAGCATTATAGCTGTGGAAACATAGTTCTGAAATAAAAGCTATGTGCTCTTTATTTTATATTTATGTATTGAGTCTTGTAAGGCTGCTATATTTTTCTAAACTTAAAAAAACCCTTCAAAAGTATTCCTTTTTAAAGTAATCACTTTAAATGTCACTTTTCTTATCTATATTTCATCTGCAAATGCTGGTTTTGACTAAACCATGCTTTATACTTCCTTCTTGTTTAGGGCAATGGTGAATGAAAATCAGTTCTGATCCGTTGATCAGAATCAACTAAACATTTTTCTCAAAATTTTATGTTTATTACACTGAGCCTCTTTTTTTCCACGAAGCTATAAAACTCAAGAAATGTATAGCCTGATTAAAACCCTTGACTGGAGGATTAACTTCATTGGGGTATTTAAATCCAATCCAACTAACCCTGTTGTCAAAGTTAGGGAACTTGTCTCTCTGTGGTCTTGCTATGGCCATCTCTCAAGAGTTATTGAGTGCATAAATCTAAAAACCCAGCAGGTTTTAAAATTTCCTCTTACATTATTTTCTTTCTCTTTTTCCCCCTCATCTTGTCTTTGACTTCCTTCTCTTTCCTGTCTCCCAGCTGATTTTCAGCCTACAGACTTTCATATTCCAAATTTGAAGAAACTTTTTAGAACTACACTACAGCCCTTCAAGGTATAATTTTCAGAACTGAGAACTGAGGAGTCTGGCATTTGATTTCTCTTCTATGATCTCTCCTGTCTACTATTTAATCCCTGTTTCACAGAATCACAGAATCACAGAATATTAGGAGTTGGAAGGGACCTCGAAAGATCATCTAGTCCAACCCCCCTGCCAGAGCAGGATCACCTAGACTAGGTCACACAGGAACACGTCCAGGTTGGTTTTGAATGTCTCCAGAGAAGGAGACTCTACAACCTCTCTGGGAAGCCTGGTCCAGTGCTCTGTCACCCTCACAGTAAAAAAGTTTTTCCTCATGTTCACATGGAACCTCCTATGTTCCAGCTTGCTCCCATTGCCCCTTGTCCTGTCATTGGACATCAGAGAGGAGAGCCTGGCTCCTTCCTCCTGACACTCGCCCTTTACAAATCTATAAACATGAATGAGGTCACCCCTCAGTCTCCTCTTCTCCAAGCTAAAGAGACCCAGCTCCCTCAGCCGCTCCTCATAAGGGAGATGCTCCACTCCCTCAGTCATCCTTGTGGCTCTGCGCTGGACTCTTTCAAGCAATTCCCTGTCCTTCTTGAACTGAGGGACCCAGAATTGAACACAATATTCCAAATGCTGTCTCACCAGGACAGATTAGAGGGGAAGGAGAACCTCTGTCGACCTACTAACCACACCCCTTCTGATCCACCCCAGGATGCCATTGGCCTTCTTGGCCGCAAGGGCACAGTGCTGGCTCATGGTCATCCTGCTGTCCACCAACATCCCCAGGTCCTTTTCTGCCTGGCAGCTTTCCAGCCTCTCGTCCCCAAGTCTGTAGTGCTGCATGGGGTTATTGCAACTGAAGTGCAGAACCCGGCACTTGGCCTTGTTGAAGCTCATACAGTTGGCCTCAGCCCATTGATTCAGCCTATCCAGGTCCTTCTGCAGAGCCTTCCTACCCTCAGGCAGATCAACACTCCCTCCCAACTTAGTGTCATCTGCAAACTTGCTGAGGGAGCACTCAATCCCCTCATCCAGATCATTGATAAAGATGTTCAACAGGGCTGGCCCCAAAACCGAGCCCTGGGGAACACCGCTTGTGACTGGTCGCCAACTGGATTTAGCTCCATTCACCACAACTCTTTGTGCTCGGCCATCCAGCCAGTTTTTGACCCAGCAAAGCGTATGCCTGCCCAAGCCATGCCCAGCCAGCTTCTCCAGGAGGATGCTGTTTCAATTTAGCACACACATTTCCAGTTAAACACTTGTAGGTAAATCAAAGACTGGCTTCTATTTAGTGAATTTCAGTTTTTGGCACCAGTATTATTGTCAATGCCATTAACATTTTCATTCTCAGATTTTCGTTCTCATTTTCATTCCGTTTTCATGTTTCCTATGAAACCTCTCCAAAGGCTGTCTTATCAACAAATGCCAATATTTTTTTCTTTTAAAATATCTGGAAACCCTCATGGAAAATTTTCAACCAGCCATATAGTATATTCACTTATAAGACATTAGCAGATATCCATGTTCTTTCATAGACTTTCAACCCACAGTAGCTGAGAGTGGGTGGAGATCTTTAGGACTAGAACACAATGGCATCGAACTTTATTCCATATCAAAAATTACATAGTCCAAACTCAGGCTGTAAGTTGCCATTGTAGCACAGTATTAGTACTGTCTGCATATTGAATGATAGTGTAGTTGTCAATTTTGATATATTCTACATTCCCCACCTCTGATTATCTTGCAAAAAGCTGATCCTTTTAGAGTTAAGACTTTGGCAATTGGAAGCATTTCAAGTGCTGCAGAGAACTGTACCTTTGCAACTGAGAAGACAAGAGACAAAAAAGTTAAATAGAAACAATCTAGAAGAAATAATATCTCTTAGTGTTACTTTCTGTAAAGACATTTTGAGTCACAAAGGACTGATTATTTTACGGTCATTTAAATACTTAAATTCATGTTCATTAGTAAATATTTAATGACTAAAATATTGCTCATGATTATTATTTTGTGGGAAATACTGAAAATAGTGACGTGTATTTGAGCATATGTATGTAAAGAATCATTAAGCTACCATTCAAAAAGAAAAAAGATGAAGTTGCAGTGGATATTATGTGGTTTAGCAGAGTAATTCTAGGAGAGAAAATGATTTGCAATTGAATTTGTGTTGAGGATTGGGATCTTAGTTGACTGAAATTATAAAGTCATGAATTAGATTTTCTTCTCACTAAAGAGTATGTAGCATATTTTATAGCATTCCTTATCAAACTTAGCTTTTATATGTTTTTCTTTCTGTTTTAATAATTAAATAATTATTGAGTAATTAATAATTAATGTAAGAGGTGAAGAATGGATGAGGCTTTCAATAGCAGAAGTAGAAGAATGGGCAGCATTTCAGAGCTATCATGAAGCAAGAATTGGTAGGATTTGTTGGCAAGTCACTGAGTGCAGAAATAAATAGGATATCAAGGTTATGAACTATATAGTAATGAAAAGGATCATGGAGATAGAGAGTAACGGATGTCATACAGTGTAGTCGATTTGCTTTTATCTTGTACAGATTCAATTTATGACTGAGCATTCAATTATAGATGTCAGAAAAACACCAGCAGAGCTAAGAGGAGAAACCAGATCCAAAATGTAAGTTAGATAGATAGTTTTTGAAGTAGTGATGGGGATAAGAATAATAAGAGCAAGTAAAGTCAGCCTGCCTGCTTTTCTGAGGCAGAAGAGAATTTGCAGAATTTCCTTGCTTGTGGGCAATCCCTTGTCGCTTGTCCCGGGACTACTGACTGCTTCCATACCGTGACTTGTCTTCACTCTGAGCTGTGACTCAGTACTGAAGTAGACCAAGTAAAGAGCTTTGGTCGAATGGCATCCTGAGGGAGTGGTGGCACTTGTGGTGGCACTGGGACTCCTCCTGCCACCTGAGCAGATACGGGCTCTTCTCACTGCCTTGCACTGTTGGTACGGGCTGTCTCTGAACTGAGGCAGTCATTGCATGTCATCACTATTCTCCAGGTCATCTTTGTATTTAAAATATATAGTTAAACAGTGAACTTGAGAACTTGAGATGTTCTTTTTTTTTTTTTTTGATAGCCAGGTGTTCCAATGATGTCCTTCAACATATCTACTAGATCTAGAAAAGATGTCTACATTCATCTGCAGAAAATATAGTTTTGCTCTTGCAGCAATTCTCAAACTTAGCTGAATGTTTTCCAGTGGAAATAGTCTTGTAACCAGGAAGTGAAACCTTAGCATGTAAAAATATTACAATGCTTTCTTCTTTTCTAGATTAAAATATGAAATGCTTTTTTCATGAAGTGAAAGGGGTTTCTATGTAACCCTGAGAAAGAACCTCAGCTTTATAACCGTTATTCTACCCATGTAACTTGAAGCACAATCCAGCTTCACTAAAAGTCATGCAAAAGCTGTGGAGGACGAAATAGGGAAGAAATTGTAGTCTTAAATGATGATTGACTAGGATTTTTTCTTCTGGTTGAAATAAAATGTAGCTGGCTACTGATTCCAGGGCTGTATAGTGACAGTGGTTACAAAATGCTTCAAAGCCACAAAGGCAGTGGTCTCCCTGCTGCATTAAAAATATGCAGCAAAGAAATGATTTAAATTTTTATTAATTAGTATTTAAAATGGATATGCCCTTGCATAAAACAGAACTAATAATTTATCTATTTCCATGCAGCCGAGGCAACGAGAATAGACTAGCACTACGACGGCAGACCATTCTCCGGGAGAAGGGGAGGAGGCAGGCCAGTCGAGGACCAGCGTATATGTTTAATGACCGCTCAACAAGTCTTTCTCTTGAGGAGGAGCGCTTTTTGGATGCAGCAGAATATGGAAATATTCCAGTGATTCGGAAAATGCTGGAAGAGTGTCCCTCACTCAATGTGAACTGTGTAGACTATATGGGGCAGAATGCCTTGCAGTTGGCGGTTGCCAATGAGCACCTGGAGATCACAGAACTTCTGCTGAAGAAGGAGAACCTGTCTCGGGTTGGGGATGCCTTGCTTTTGGCTATTAGCAAAGGTTACGTTCGGATAGTGGAAGCCATCCTAAGCCATCCTGCGTTTGCTGAAGGCAAGAGGCTTGCATTGAGCCCTAGCCAGTCAGAGCTCCAGCATGATGACTTCTATGCATACGATGAGGATGGCACACGGTTTTCCCATGATGTTACACCCATCATTCTGGCCGCCCACTGCCATGAGTATGAGATCGTCCACACTCTGCTGAGAAAAGGAGCTCGGATTGATAGGCCACATGACTATTTCTGCAAGTGCAGCGAATGCAATCAGAAACAAAAACATGACTCTTTCAGCCATTCTAGGTCTAGAATCAATGCCTACAAAGGTCTGGCCAGCCCTGCTTATCTGTCTTTGTCCAGTGAAGACCCTGTAATGACTGCCTTAGAGCTCAGCAATGAGTTGGCCGTGCTTGCCAACATTGAAAAAGAGTTTAAGGTGAGTAAAGGGATACCAATTCTGACAGACACAGAATTGCAACGTTCAATCAAAAGTCTCTCTCCCATTCCTTGAGCAGTAAAAGATCAGCATCATCTTCACAAATCAGCAGGATAACATGGGAAAATGTATAACTGTTTAATGAATGGGATATTCAAATCTTTGGGAATGTCTCATTGCTCTGTGCTGATTGTAATTTGTGTTGCTTATGTAGAATGTGCCAGTGAACTAATTATCAACTTCCTATCAGGCAGGATTGGAAGGGAGTCCCTTCAAACCTATGACTGAAGCTGGAAAGAGGAGACTGAAGTGAGTCACTTCGGTCACTTATACAAGCCACGTGGTTCTACTAAACCCCCATACATTCTTATTACTTTTTTGTACTTGAACTGAAAGCTTTCTCACTTCTCACAATGTTTTACAGTTATTTACTGAAAGAAGTCTAAATAATGTCCTCCTTGTCCTATTTTTTCATGTGTTGCTTTTCTCTGGTGCTTTTACAAACCTCTTCCTCTTTTTTACTTATTTGTACTTAGCTATATGTGAATTCTGTGAAAAGAGAGAGAGACTTTTTCAGTGTTGTATATAATTTTTAATGTTATTAATGTGATTTTGAAAAAAAATAATAGTTGAGACCCAGGGATTCAAGGCCCTTTGGATCCTTGAAGCATCAATGTTCTGTGGGGTTTTTTATTATGCAGATACAGTGGTAAACAGCCCACAGAAGTATTTGCCACAGTTTATTTGTGTTAAGACAGTAAGAATGTAAGCATTTTGCTCTCAGTAAATGCAAAGTCAGGCCTTGTGCAAACATCAGCTGTGTTAATTATTACTTAGGTTAGCTAAAGTCACTTGGACTTAGTTTACCTCCTGGAACCCTGTTGAAAACAGATGCTAGTACATGATAACTGCTGTGACAGGCGAGATATCTAGACTTCACTAGCAGGAGATCAAACCCACTCCAAAGCAGTAGGAGAATAATTTCCAACATTGTGTTAGGAAGAGTTTGAAGTTGCCATGATCGATATTTAATGTTAATCTCCTTAGCAGGGAGAACAGTTCTCAAGGCCATGAACTCATCTCTACTCAGCCAACCGGAGCTGAGATGCTGCAATTCTGAATTACTCCTGACTCGTTCTCGTAGATGTGCCTTCGTGGCACCAATGTGATGTAAGGAGCTGAAATATTTCTTGAAGGGGGAGTGTGCAAGGGGATCTTAAAAACAGCAGCTAAACAGCTGGCATAGGAGCAGAGGAGAATTTTTATTTTCTATCAATAAGACCAAATTCTGGGAAGAGCATTTCAGCTTCAAGCAGAGGATGAAAGTCTGCACCATGAAGTCCCTAGCAGAAATCCTTGGACCTCCGTGGGCTGAAATTTCATCCAGTGCTTGCATGTACAGTTCAGAGAAGAGTGTTTAAACTACGTACTCTTGTTTGTTTCTCTTTAGCAGCTGCTGAAGATGTGAACAAAAGGACTTGATTAACTTAAAGGGGAGGAAATTTAGAACAGAACAGAAAAATATTTTTCGTACAGCATAAATGCAGCCTGTTAAGGTCACAGCTATGTTGAGATAAATAGCATGTCTGATTTGTAGGGCTGTACATCTCCGCTTACCACAATTGGAGTGACACAAGCTAAGATTATTATAAAGATAAATCATCATCTGGAACTTTCAGCAAGAGGTGCCCTTCAAATGTATGCTGCAATGCACAACCAGTGAGATGAACTGTGAGTGCAGAATTTGTCCCTGGTGCCACCAGGACAGGTAATGGCACACACAGGTGAGAAAAGGTGGGCTGGTTCAGAAAGCACACTTCTGCAGCCTGCCCTGAAGTGCCATGAGGAGGTCCTTCCTCAGTGTCACCTGGCTCATCTCTGAGTCACTTCTGGTTTTTTAGTTTCTCTTTTGCCCCAGTTGCCTCCTCTAAAATTATTTCTAGTGTAGTGTTGTATAAGGAATTGCAACAGAGATTTTGAGGTACTCTCCCTGGGCAGAAACAGGAGGATAGACAAGAGACAGAGTAGCTCCACCTTGCTGGGCATCAATCAGCCGAATGCTGATGGGGACATAGCTGCTTTTTAAAGTAGAGTGAAGGTGAATAGGAACAATGAGGAGCAGGAACACAAGGCAGTGCAGAAATTGAACTCTCCATTAATTTAAGGTTTTACCAGAAGCAGGAAGCTGGCAACGTAGTCTGTTGGGAATATTTTTGTAGGTACAAGAGCCATGTGATTGTTCTGGATAAATATTAAAGACCATGGAGTACATTTATACATGCATTGGCAAGAGTTAGCATTTACACTATTGATGAGTGATAACATTTACAATATCTAGAAAGGCTGAGGCTTGACTGAGAAATAGCTGGCTTAGGTTCAGTGGAAGCAGTACAAAGGTTGTGTGCGCAAGCTGCAGGAAATGGATGCTGTTGTCTTCACTGAGTCTGGGCTTGTTTGTTCTCCTGCAAGCTCACATGCTTGCAGCAGTTTATCTAATTATCCATAGTGTAGACCCTGCATAAAAATATGGTTTTCATAAAAATGCGTTACATGTTTTAGTTTAAGCAAAACCAGTATATTTTTAGTGCATAGATTACCTGGACATGTAAAATCTTTAGCTCCACCTAGGGTATGCCTGAGCCATTTAAAATACTTAAGACCTTGCCTAAATGAAAATTGAACTTTCTGGTAATACATGTTTTAAAAGTCACCTATTTTATGGTGCTGATAGGGTATTGTTGCAGGGGGTGCCTACAGCAGCCAGTAGCACAGATGATTCCCAGGTCTTCCTCAGAGGCAATGAAAGGGTTGATGCTGAACTTTGACGCTGGTTGCTTCATGACTATCTTATAAATTACTTCTCTCTCCTGCTTTACACTGTCCATTAAGGTTGAGATAACATTGACCATGAATCTCTGATTAATACAAAATAAGGAATGCAATATCAGTGGAAACTGCTATTCTTTGGAATAAACGACTTTAATTGCTTCAAACCTCATCTAGCATTACATGCCTGTTGCATTTGGTTACAGGTACTGTTTTTACTGGAGGATAATTCTTTATTAGGAGTAAAACCAGAAGAAAGTAGAAGATGACTTCTGAAGGAAGATGGACAAATGTGTCAAGCACAGTGTAGGAATATTTCTGTACAAAGCAAACAGCTAATTCAGGCTTCCTGGGTAATTCTGAGATCTTCAGAATTTTCTGAATGCCATTTAATTTAGCTTTTTATGACATGGCTGTGTGTGCAGCTTTACAAGGTTTGATACTATATAGAATATTTTTATTTTGGAGGATTGTGCTCGTATTTTCTGTCATCTAAACTGTTTGCCCACCCTAGAGCTATTATCTCTGCCACGTCCATAAGGATGTAGATGATATCTGACAAATGTCCTGCAGAGATGTGGCCTGGAGTTTTGAGAGGGACAGCTGTGGCCTGGTGCTGTTCAAAATGGATAAGATTTGCATTTAGTACAAAGTTCTCTGCATCTGTAATGGCAACAGACTGTTTTGTTGTTTAATGTGATGGAGTGGAAAAATGTATTTTTAAAATAAATGAAGATATGTTACTGTTAGCCGTAAACTAATACCCCTAATCAGGTCATCTGAGTTTGCTTTTCTGATGAGAAGCAAAATTCAATTTATCATTTCAAAGTCTGATTTTCTGTTTGTTTTCATTTATACAACCCCATTACACAAATCAGGTTCCAGTCTTCATTATGGGTATTTTCAGCTCTCTCAGAGAAAAGTTAACATGACCTTTTAAAGAAGAAAAACCAAAGCACCAAAGGTGTAGGAGACACCTTTGTAAGGGGAATAATGTGTTTATCTACCTACTAAGATGCTTGAATCCAACATTTAGGTCCCACTTACATTCACAAGGCACTTTAAAATCCTAAATCCTCATATAGCAGTACCTGTTTTTCTGGTCTTGGCCTCTACAGTTCACTAAGCAGGGCCAGAACATGGTCTGAGGCACTACTCCATCTCCTCTGTGGGGTTCAGCCTGGACACTGAGAGCATTTTCATCACAGACAGTCTGGGGGACAGCAGGACCCTGTGACTGGTCACAGGAGGGCATGTGGAGAAGGTCCCTTTCTTCTGGGAGAAATGACTGTGGTGATGCTCTCCTGGCTCTGCTTTCCTGCATACGTGGTCAGAGGTAAGACTGAGGTTTTCAGAGGGACCATGGCCTGCTTACATCCTTACCTGGGACACCAGGACAATCTGTGGTGTCTCCTACCATGGAAGGCAGGTGACCCCTCTCAGCAGCAGCCACTGTCACCCCCACCCCTCCTGTCATTCCTTGACCATCTTGTTCCCCTCCTTCCTCATCCCCCACAGCACTCACCCCAAATCATCACCACCTTTTTGCAGGGAGAAAGGAGCCAGCTCTGCCCCCTCATCCTTGGTGTGGCAAAATTTGGCAAAATTGAGCTTTTCCGAAACTGCTGAGGAGCCCTGTACCAACACTGTGACCTGTGTAAAATAAAGCACACGCCTATTTTATTGCAGAATTAAGGACCAATTCTTTTTAGAGCCTCTAACTGTAATTTAATTGCTAACTGCCCTCCCAGGACTGCTTTTTTAATTCATTAAGTTTACATTTTGCAGTAAAGGAGAACTTGTGGAATTATCCATGTGCCTTTGGCCATTTTCAGAAATAAATTAAGCCAACAAATTACTGTGTTCCTTTGGCTCACATTAATGGTGAGAGACATGTGAGACTGGGGGAGGGGGAAGTTTCTGTGCATATATGACAGAAAGACACTGAAATGGCAGTGAGCACACATTAATCATTTTTGGTGTCAATAAGTATTTAAGTGGACCAAGGAGACAAGAAGCAAAAGGTGGCCCATGCAGTAGTCTCTGCAAGTTAAAACATTTGATTTCTTACAGAGTTCCCCAGCCAGTGCTACCTTCCCTGTGTTCAGACCCTGACAAATCTTCCTGTAGCAGCTAAAGACTTTATCACCCCATCTGTCCTTCATATCCTTCCCTAAGAGGACAAAATCTTCGTAAGTGAATACATCTGAAGGCAGCAAACAGTGAACCGTAGCAGGGACGTGGGTTGCCTTCAGCTGACTGCTGCGTTCCAGCTGTCCTGTGCCGCAGCTGGTGTGGATGCAGTGATGCTGGGCACCCCATAGCTCCTTTGCTTGTAACAAGGAGATTTCAGCTCAGCTACCACCACAGATCACAGCTGTGGCAGTATTTCACAGGAGAGGAAGCTGTTTTACTGCATTTGCAAATGAGAAAATAAACTGATGGACTTTATGGATGAGTTTACTGCATGCTAATATTTACTGTGAGACTATTTACAGATCTAAATTCAGAAAAGATAATTCTGAAAAGTGCAAATGGGGATATCTGACTATTTTAAAAAGTGCCCATTCAATGCTCATTTTGGCAAATAGGACTAAATTCAGAAAAAATCTTACTTTTCAATAGAAAAAAATATTATGTATGATTTTTGTTTTGAACTACCCAAAGGCATTGGACTCCACAGTGGAGTAATGGTCTCCTCACATGCTGTTTTGAAAATCCATGTCATGACTCAGTTACCAGAACTGGAAAATACTGATGAAGAGTATGTTTGAGTGTGCATGTATATATGTATCTCCTACCAGAAAATATGCACATACCAATATATTACAAATATATTACAATATTTTGTAATAGTTATTTTTGAAGGCCAAATTATTTTGTTACTAAATTTATTGGAAAATATTCTTTTTTCATTTGATGTTCAAGGGTCAGATATCAGTTTGGAACAGTTCATGGTACCTAATTGTACAAGGGTGCGTAGGTTGACTCTATGTTTTTCCTTTGTCTGTCAGTCTCAAATGACTACTCTTCCTTTATTTTTGAAGAGGATGTTTATGCATTAAAATGATTGAATACTGAATCTTATCTTAGCTGCTGCTACAAAAATGAAAGTCAAACAGAAGGTGATATATTACTTTCAAAAAGTGTCTTTCTACAGTGTCAAGAATCAGAATTTTGGTTAATCTCTTTCGTTATGCTTCTGAAGAGAGGGAAAATAAATAATAGAATAACAAAATATACAGTGTTTCATGAAATTAAAGCTTCTGTTGTCTTTGTAGAGAAATGACATTAATGTTTGTTTTTCTTTTATGATGAATCTGAGCTATCTTGCTTACATTAGATTATTAAAAAATAAATCACTAGCAGTTTTATGTAGACATACAATAGTGCCTATAACTGTTTGTCTAAAAATGTTTGCATCCATCTAAGTAAAGCAAAATGTAAAACTTACATGCAATTCTTTAATATATCCAAGTAATAAACTGGTATCGTGGTCTTGTAGGTAATAAAGCACAAGCACGCATGAAGAACACCCACAGCAAATAAATTAGGGTATTCTGTATACTCAAAATAATGGTTTCTGTTCCAGGATGTGTATTAGTATGAAGGAAGTACTTAAGAAGAAGGGACTAAACAAAGACTATGAATGGGAGAAGGGGGAATGCTATGAAGAACAGATGAGAAGAGGGGGAAATGTGTCACTGTAATAAAAGCATACATAGAAAGTTACTTTGAACATGAAATAGAGACTACATGAACAATCCTGTATGGTGTGGGGTGGTTGGGATTTTGGGAAAAATTCGGTGATAATTTCAGCTTGTTAAGACATTAAATCTAGCAGAGATCACAAAAATATCAGAAGTTGTTGACATATGTGTGAGTAAATCTCTTGTGACATCTAGGTCAGGGGCAAAATCTGTACACATTTTTTAGCTTTTGAAATACATCTATATCTATATCCATCTAACTCCATAACTGTATAGCTATATTCATCTTTTATGATCCAAACACAGCTACAAGTAAGGGTATTTAATGAACTATGGATAGCAATGATCAAAATGCTTTTGTTTTGTTTTGACTTATGCCTTTTGGAAAATGATGACTGAGAAGAGTGAGCTAGTTATCGAGACTTCTGAGACAGTCAGTGAATAGAAAAATATCCCCTGTGCTATTCATCTCAACTTGAAAGAGTCGTTAAAGTATGTCATACGGTATTTCTGAAAGTATTGTTTTTTACTTTCAGTTGGCTCTGAAGCAAGTCTAGAGAAGTAACTCAGGTGTTAAAATTGGTAATGTAGATGTCCAAGGTAACCAAAGTGAGACGAATCCTGCTCTTTGAACCTTCAGCGAAAGTAGATGCCTCATAACAAAGTGCTGTTAATCTGCCAGAAAGAAACCCAACAAAAACATAACAAGATGCAAACTGTTGATGCTCACAGATGTGTAGCTGGGATGTAGAACTGTTTATCTTGTGTTAGGTCTAAACAGCAAGTTCTTTCTTTCCTTTCTTTTCTAGAATGATTACAAGAAATTGTCTATGCAATGCAAGGATTTTGTAGTTGGACTCCTTGATTTGTGCAGAAATACAGAAGAAGTGGAAGCTATTTTGAATGGTGATGTAGAGATGAGCCATAACAATGGAGAACATGGTCGCCCCAGCCTTAGTCGCTTAAAACTCGCCATTAAGTATGAAGTTAAAAAAGTAAGCAATTATGTTGATCAAACAGACATGTCATAATAGTGGTATTAAATTGTATTATTATTACATGTTTCTGTTTTTGTAGGCTCTGACACTTAAATGAACATTTGGGCCCTTCTGCACAGTGTATTTTACAAACAAAAGAATCCTTGCCCCAGATAACTTGCAATATAAACAAGAAGCAGATGTGCAGGGTGGATACTGGTCAGAGTGAGTAAGAGTGCAAATGGCTGTAAAAATGTGTAGCTATATGCAAAATTTGGAGATATTTACTTGGTTTTAGTTTTAATCTATTTTTAAAAAATATGGAAGAAATTTGCACTACCTTTGCAACCCAGAAAAGTATAAGATTTAATAAAAAACAGAGGATAGCACAGCAGTCCTGTGTACTGCATAATAGCAGATATTGATATGCAATTTTGTCAAGCTGTTGTGTCTTACTCAGAAAGTTGAGAAAACTTAGTGAAATTGAGTGTCTGTTGGAAAAAGTGTACTTGTATAGATGATCCTGTGGATGATCCTACACAACCTAGGAGTACCATTACTGTGGTTCTCACTCCTGAAAAACAGTGGGCTACAGCTGTTGTTGAATATACAAGTTAAAATCCCTTTTTTAGCTGTCCCATTTTTTCTGTCTGTGTTTAACACACTGCTCTGCCTATGAGAAGTATTCAGTGGAATCAGCTGAGTTAGTAGCTGCACCAATATCCTTGAATTACCCAGAAAACTTCTCTTGGATAATATAGGTTGTAAAGTTCCAGGTGGCGTATGTGTGAACCAGGGAGAAATTATTTGTGTGATGAAGGTTGTGCAACTGAAGACCAAGAAGATACAGCTCACGGATCTGCTCTGAAAGCAGGTTACCCCCAAGCAGAGCTATCTCCTAACAGAGCAGCAAGATCTCTGAAAAACTTTTCCTATATAAGGAAATTGATCAGATCAACAATGTAAAAATAAACAATATCGGATTTTAACAGAAAAAAAATAGAAAGGTAATAGGTATTCTTAAAAATCCAGTATGCACTGAATATACAGATCTATTTTATCAAGAGTTGCAAATTTTTTTGCAAAAATCAAGTTCATTTTTCTGGAGTGAACCTTAAACATTTATATGTGAGGGGTATTTTTGTGTTCATGAAAGGAAGAAAAGAAGAAAACCATTTTGACTGCAGAGCACCTACAAGCATATGAACACAAACCTCCAAAGCACTTGGCAAATTTTGGTCACTGAAGAGAGCTGAAACTTTTGAAGGGAAGATATGATATTGACCTTGTCCTTCGTAGTATCCAAGTCTTAATCCATGATATTTTCCACATTAGCATGTGAAAATATGGCTTATTCTTTTTCTTTCATAACTATAGACTATATAGCATCCTTTACAGAACAGGAAGACTTAAAGTTTTGGAATTTCTGAGGTAGTAACATGAAGATTAGAGATGTTAAAACCAAGTAGAGTTTGCTCAGATAAAATTTATGTTTACTGACATGGCAGATGGAGTTTAATAGTTTGTGATCATAGAATGGTTTGAGTTGGAAGGGACCTTAAAGATCATCCAGTACCAACCCCCTTGCTATGGGCAGGGACACCTCCCACCAGACCAGGTTGCTCAAAGCCCTGTCCAATCTGGCCTTGAACTCTTCCAGGGAGGAGGCATCCACAACTTCCCTGGGCAACCTGTTCCGGTGTCTCACCTCCATCGAACACAGTGTCAATAGAAAAAATAGTTTCTTAAATTAAAGTTTTTATTGTTGCCTGTGCCCGCATGCTGGGAGATGATGCTCATCAAAAAACTTTTTCTTATACCCTTGTTAATACTCCTTTAAATATAAGCTGAGTTGTTGCTATTCCCACATTCTTAATGTGCTTCATATAGCTGTTATTTTAATAAAAGATACCCTACCAGTAATATTATTTTGTTGTGCTCCTTTTCTTTGTTACAGTTTGTAGCACATCCAAACTGCCAGCAACAACTTCTTTCAATCTGGTATGAGAATTTGTCAGGTTTACGGCAGCAGACCATGGCAGTGAAGTTTCTGGTGGTTCTTGCTGTTGCGGTAGGACTGCCATTCCTTTCAATGGCTTACTGGATTGCTCCTTGCAGTAAGGTCAGTCTGTGAAATTTTGTAATGGCCTTTTATTGACTCCTGTGTCATCTGTATGTAGATTCCTGTCTGGCAAAGATGAAGCATGAATGTCAGTTATAGATATGCTTAAATAATGTTTCAGAAATGTGCTATTTTAAAGCTGAACTAGAATGGAATGGCTGCAGAATTGCATGTTCTGATATTTGTAATTAGGACAGGTAATTGTATTGTGTTAAACGCAGTGTATATTAAATTGGATTACAAGGGTTGACCAAGAGTTGCCTTGTAGAAGTTGTAGTTTAGAAGCAATGAGTCAAACTATTCTTCATTTAGTTATGGCATTAGTTAGGCAGATGCAGAGAATCCTCATTTCCCATTGATTCAGAGCTAGACAAAGTTCAAGCTCTGGGTTGATTCTCAAAGGTAATTTTATTTTTATTGATTACAATTAATAAATAGAAATCACTGAAACATAAGCGCCAAAAGTTAAAAAAATCATCATCAGTTTTCTAGAAGTCTAGAAGTGAACTGTGTTGGCTTGTCAAGAGAGTGCTAATATTCGTTATATTTAGTGAGGTTTTTAAAGTAATTAAGCAGCCTCCCCTGCATCCATTCATAATGTGCTGTCCGGATTTGGATGCTACCACACTATCTGTTTTGAATTATGTATAGTATGGAAAGTGTTCCCACTGAAGATAGTTACAAGCTCTGACCTCTCTGAACTATGTCTTGAATCTCTGTTTTAGTTGGTCACTATCCATTTTAAATGGGCACTTCCTTCCATCAGTATGTTAGAGGGAACAAATATGATCCTATAAGGGTTATTCAACACGTTACAGTATAACATCCATGACTTTAGCAGGTCAAACCCAGTGATTCCAGGGGAAGAGAAAGGTGGAAAGCGAGGACTGAGGTCTTTGTGAGGTGTTTTGGTTTTTGGTTTTTTTTTTTTTAAGTTGTTCTTTGAGAGGAGAAAGGTAAGCCTTTTTTGTTTTGCCATATTTTTCATTTCTTTCAATCTGGTCAATAGAAATCTGATATAATTTTCAGTTTTCTGTATAGTGACTAGGATTTTTATGAAAACTTTTTTCTTAAAACATGCCTTGAGATTCAATATACTGCAGTAATTGGTTTTCAACTATAGCAGTGTCTTGCCTATTTGTCCTTTTCCTTTTTTGAATGATTTATTGGATTTTAAAGTAATTTTTAACTATGGTACATTCTGAAAGAGCTATTTCAGAGTACCTTTTTAAAGTCAAGGTTCAAGGGACAACATCCTTTAAGGTTTCACTTCCTCTGCTGCTATTTAAAAATCTCATTCTGTGATATATATGTTGAATGCTTTTTGTTTCATTATATTCTGCAACTGTAAAATCTAATCCACCTTTTTCACCAGTTGCCATTTCTTATCTTGTGCTTCGCTCATACTTCAAAATTGGATTCTTCTGTTTTTTGAAGACAAAATTGCTCACTGTTTAATTTCAGGATGGGATAGCTCCAATACAGAATGTGATCTATATCAGCAGAGTCCATTCTGTGTATGTATTGATGGAATTTTATAAATCTCTTCTCCTCCTACTGAGAAAAAGTACTCATTCTTTTTCTAGGTTTGGCACTATAGGGCACAGTGTCAGAAGAGAGAGAAAATACAGTGTTTCTGGTGAAATTAACAGCTTACAGTGGAGTTATTCCAACACATTTCTTTATATTCTCATACCATGGCTATGAGAAAGGCAAAAATGTCTTTATGACATTTACAACATCTCAGTTACGTGTATAACTGAACAGTTTCTTCTGTAGGAGAATGTGATTTGAGCTTGGGCCACTGATACTGAATTGAGAGTTTCAGATCTGGAAGAAATTTCATAGAAATATGTGGACAGAGGATGATTTGGTAGGAATTCACTGGAGTTAGATCCCGAAAGGAACTAAGATTGCTTCTTCTTTGAGATTCAGCCAGCAATCCACATGGAGGCACCTCAAAGTTTTGTGAACTGTTTGCTCTGCATTTCTAATTGATAATTCAGTGTAACTACTGACATAATTAACCCCAAACTTCTAGAATACTATATTGTTACATGATATTTTGAAAGATTAGTAATTATTTTCAGTTATCTCCAAGAATCTCTAATATCTGTGCTGGTCATCTATAACTAGTAATAGTATTTAGATTTTTAGCTTTATGAATTCATAACTAATCAGTCAGCCCCTGGCCAAGATGAGGGATCTGAATTTGAAATTGGCTCTTATGCTGTTCCCAGCCACCTGGGGTTGGCTTTTCTGAAGAAGTAACTTGATAAGTCCCTACATGCTTTCTAGAAGCATGTTCTGAGAGTTATGCACATTCCTGTTTTGCACTGTGGTAGAGGAAAAGACATTGAATGCCGTACTCCATAATGTTACAGTACTGATTGTTTCTGCAGAATCACAAAGGGGGAATAACGTGAATCCAGTCCCCAGTGATTTAAGGTGGCCCGATATGCAGACAAATGTACATCGAAGGATCCAAGATAACTATTCTATATCTTGTCCTAACCCAAACCAACTTGTAAAACACTTTCCAAAAGACTATAGCACAGAGGATCAGAAATCGGAAAAAAAACCCAAACCAACCCAACCCAACGCAGCCCAACTCAACCCAACCCAACCCAAACCAAATCAAACCCAAAACTAAACCCACTTAAATTACAGAAGGAGATCCAGAACATTTAGAAGATCATGTCCTTGGTCTGTGCAATGGTAGGGAAATTACTATGTCGAAATGCACAGTGAATAAGTGTACTAAGGACAGTCTGTGGCTTATAGAAAAGTCTCAACATCTTGCAAAATTATGCTTTGTGTTTACATGTTGCTCTTTCTTTCCCTGAATTGTATTTTCTGACCCATATCTTCTTCATAAAACGATTCCAAATTTTAAAAGTGTCATTTCAATATTTTTTGGGATCTTTGTTATGTGGCAATGTCACAATAACTTCCAGGATTTGTGTCGTTAGTTCAACTGCAGTCAGTCCTGCTTCCAGGGACATTTTACTGTATATATTTGTAAAGAATACTCTTCTGTCTCTTTCAGGACAGGTGGGATGGGTGCTAGGAGTTAATTCTTACAAGTTTCTTTCTTTTTGATCAAGGAGTATATTATCATTACTGCCTTCAATATTTTTTCTTCTTTTCTGGCTGTGTCTCTGTCTGACATCTGTCTCCTAATCCATCTTCATTAGTGAACACAAGCGTAATGTATTTAAAAGGACACTGTCAAGGTACTTCATCATTTTCCAACTCTGCCATGCTGTTTATGATTGTGCCATCCTAGCTTGAAATAAAATCTTTTGCTGTGACTAATACCTGTTCTCTTTGTAGTTTATGCAAAATAATTGGTTGTTGAAGATCATCTCATAAGCCTGAGGGAATACTTTAATTTTTTAAAAATATTAATTTTATTGAGTAAGAAACATAATGAATGGCATTGCTTTGCATAATAATATGAAGGAGGAAGAAGATCCATTTTTGTGCCTGCTAACCTTGACAGTGTTAACAGTATCTTGTTTTTAAAATTTGTCCAGTTTTCTTAATGTTATCTGTGTTGGAGACTTCACCATTGCATTCTCTGCTGAATACTCTTATTCTTTGTTTCTGTAAAAGATGACTGTAACAACAGCAAAATTCTGACTTTTAATTGAAAGAAATGTAGCAAAAATATGTATACCAATAATTTATCTTTCTGCTTTTCTCTCTCATTTCAAGACCACAAATTGTTACATGTTTCAGCTGAGATCTGTGACACTTGCTTTCCATTCTTTCCAAGGAATTTTTGTCACATACAGATACTGTCTTCATCTAAAATAACAGAGTATTTTCTTGCAACTACCAACTAAGTGAACAAACTAAGACTTTTACTATTAATACAGGCACTCTCAAAAATACAATTCTTCCTAAAAGTTCAGTCTTTTGTGACTTTGTATTGAATTTTAGTTTTTCTAAATGTCGCACTAAAGCATTTTGAAGTTGTGCGTAGTCATGACAAGATTAAGAATATTTCCATTAAAGGAGTCAGGAAGGAAATTAAGACACTACAGAACTTAAGATGTAACCTTTTGAGACTCCATGACTTGTTTTTAAAAAGAAAGTAAGTTGTGAAAACTGCATTTACTGTGCTAAACTGAATATCACCTCAGGACTCAGGAAACTAATTCACTCCTGGTGATAATTTAATAAGTGTCAAAATCCTGTTTTCTTTGTTGCCTCATAAAGATGGGTAGCATGTAAATTAAAAATAAAGTCAACAACTGTAATAAATTCTTCTCTTAATTACCCATAGTAGACATAGATGCTTCAAAATAATTACAGAATTACTTCAAAATACTGAGTTAAAAATGCATATAGTCAAACTGAAATATAGTGCCTCTGAAAATAGCAAATAAATAGAAACTCTAAAAGGTGACTGTCAGCATGGTGCCATAGTATTCAAACCTTTTCCAAATATTTGTTCCTCTGTGATATTGAAATGCATATTTCTCTGTGTTACTGTTCTTTTTATACATTTTTATTTTCAAAGAAGGCAATGCAATATCCTTGTGTTTTATAACCTGTGTTGCAGCTGGGGAGGATAATGCGTGGACCATTTATGAAGTTTGTAGCCCATGCAGCCTCTTTCACCATTTTTCTGGGTCTGCTTGTCATGAATGCAGCTGACAGATTTGACGGCACCAAACTCCGACCTAATGAAACAACAGGCAATGTAAAACAGTTGTTTAGGTTGAAAACATCCTGTTTCTCATGGATGGAGATGCTCATTATTTCTTGGGTAATAGGTAAAGATTAATTTTCGCTTAAATTTGTCTTACTATGATTTCAGTGAAGCTGGACCCAATTGTATCCCTTGCTATTAGTGTTACATGTGAAAATTGCAGCAAAGGCAGTTTATTCAACTGGCTGCATTCCCACATTGGCCCCACATTTCTTGTTGGATGTCAGCAGGATTCACATGGGCCTAGTTAATCACAAACATTTAGGTTAAGGACTTGGGTGAAACCTACATCATCTGAATATGAATGAATTCAGTTTTATGATTATCAAAGAAACGCGTCTACCATTTTTCTGGGTTTATTTTGAGTCGGGCTATGTCAACTCCCAGGGGGAAAGATTTCTACATCAAGGGGCAGGCTTTTTTGTGCCCAATTGTCTCTTTCTGCTGAGATTCTCCTATCTTGCAACTATGCCTGCAGAATTAATAGTATATAGCTGAATATATTACTATTTGACAAAAGAAAAGCAGAATACAGACTTCTGAACGTTCAGTGGTAGATTTTTCCATCCCAGCATAGAGAGGAAATGAATACTATGAATACTGCTCTGAGCATTCAATTTGGTGACACAGTACTATTCAGCAGAAGAACTTTAGCACAGACCCTCAAAAATATTTTAGCTGTTTGGTTCTTATTAACATGTCTAATACTATTTATTCCAATGGGGCTTAGATGCCCAAGTATTTTAGGGATCTGTGTTCTGCTTGTTAGTTAAATCAGTAATATGGGAGAGTTAAATTTAAACTAAGTAAAACTGGCTTCCTTTCAAGAGCTTATGCATTTAAAATATTTTTCTTTTTCTTGAGATCTCTATGATTGAAATTGAAGCCATTTGTACACCGATTCTTATAACTTTAAAAGAAATTGACCATCTTTATTTATTTCATCACAGACCCATTGATAAATTGTATAATTACATATTGTAGGAAATATATGGTGCTTTAATTTTCAAATATTCTAAAAATATCAATGTTTTCATCTGATAATAAAGGAGTAAATAATAATTTCCCAATTGGAAGTTCTAGTTTGCTAACTGAATCTATTTTTATTTATTTTTGTGTCATGCATAAGACAGTTTATGAAAATTTATTCAGTACATACAGGTGTGACATTGAATTTAATTTCTGAAGTTAACATTATAATTGTCCTTATCTGGAAATGATAAAAAATTCCTTCAGACAGTTCAATAAGTGCAAAAAACCAGTGGCATTATTCCAATTCAGTTTTTTGTTAACTCTGTTTATAATCCTAGAAATGTAGTTCATGATTTAATAAATTTTATCTTGAAAAGGAAAAGGATTTTCTCAATAGACAGAATGCCATAAACTAATACTGTACTCCTGTATTTTGTTATTAAAGGAGAATAATTATGGTCAAACTTAATCAAACAGGAATCAAACAGATACCTTTGCCCTATTGAAGAATTATGAGGTTTGATTCTTCCTTTTGTGCTCATTTGTCACATACTTTTGCAATTTCAGTAAAATAGACCATACCCAGGGAACTCGGCGAATAAGAAAATGTGAGTTCTGCTGTTAGTTCTACCACTGCTATTTGATCATGCCAGAGCATTTCTGCTCTTTCAGTCTCTTTCTGTATCTGTAACAGATGGGAATACACACATCCCGTTCTTCTCTTTGAAAGCTTTTGTAGCAAAAAGCATTATGAAAGATTGTTGTTGTTACTCCCATGAGAAAGAAGTACTGCAATGTTTATGAACTGGCAGATTCAAGGATTTTACTTTGTGTTCAAACTCCCACTGACCAAAATGGTTTTGAGTTTGACTGCAACAAGAGCATATCCTATACATAATATCAAATAAAACAAACATGAAGATAAAAGAACACACTGTTTTCTCTGTTCTGTCTTATACAGGCATGATATGGTCTGAATGTAAAGAAATTTGGTCTCAAGGTCCAAAGGAATACCTTTTTGAGTTATGGAATATGCTCGATTTTGGTATGTTAGCAATTTTTGCAGCATCATTCATAGCAAGATTTATGGCATTTTGGCATGCGTCAAGAGCCCAGAACTTTGTTGACACAAATATGAAAGATCTGACAAGTCCAACACTGGAGCCCAACATAAAATACTACACCTTGGGTGAGTTGATTGCATATAACTAATATTTACTTCTTGGGCCAAGTTTAATTGATTTTCTGTTAATAAGTCTCCAATACTTTAGTTCCACAATGTGTTGCTTAAGAAATTCCTACCCCTTCTTTTCTTTCTCATCCCTACTGCTTGATCACAGTTCCCTTGGCTATGCTCATGCATCTCTTTGGGGACTGTTCTAGATATCACACACTGAAATTATTTAAGATCAAAATAACCCCACTGTTACCCCACCTGCTTGAGATTATTTTAATCCAGGTAATTTCATCTGTTCAGTGACACAGTGCTATCCTGCAAGCGCTTATGTTGGCACAACTGCAAATGTGATGTATTGTAATGCAAGGGCAGAACTAAGCAATGAGATGCAGGAACATCTTAAACCTGCTTTGCCAACATAACCAATATATCTTTTGACTACAACTTAATTCTTTGCTCAGAGACTCTGCTATATTATTTTACTGTTTCTCAATCCATTCTCTTTACCAGTAAGAGATATTAATAAAAATATTAATAAACTCTCTTGGCATATATAAGAAGTGACTAGAAGCTATTTTGCCCAAATGAGAAAAGATAAAGCTCTGTTTACTTGTGTTCACTCTCAGCACCACCACATCTCTCTTCCCTTTATTAAGGAATATTTTTCTCTAGATACTGAATTACCATCAGCTTCTATCTCTATTCTATGCCTTAGACTCTATTTCTGATAAGGTTGCATTACTTCATTATTCAGGCTGTAGAAAAAGCAGAGCAATTAAAAAATATATATATTCTGAAACCCATTAAAGTGTGCTCTTATAAATTACACTGGAAAGTTACAAATTTCACAGAAGTTATAAAAGCAGCTAGTTAAATATTAATTTAGTTTTCAGTAACACCCACTTGAAGAATTTGCAAACTGTTGTTCACAGTTCTGGGTATGACAAGCATAAGTCTTGTAACTTATTTTTATATATATATATATATATGCTATGTAATACTGTATCATATAGAAAGGCAGTTTCCCTTGACATCAGTTACAAGTTGTGACTTTGTTATGCACCTAAGCAGAGAGTAGCCATTTTTTAGTGTGTGTGTGTACACTGAAATCTGCTTGGAGAACATCTATGTATGGTGGTGCTAACATGGGTAAGATTAGTAGTGAATATTTAATGCCACAGGTTTTATCATAAGCTAGCAAACATAAATTGGCAAGCACCAGGTTGAACATGAGCCCGCAATGTGCCCCTGTGGCAAAGAAGGCCAATGGTATCCTTGACCACAATAAGCAAAGCGTTGTCAGCAATTTGAGAGACGTGATCCTTGCCCTCTACTCAGCATTGGTGAGACCACACCTTGAATGCTGTGTCCAGTTCTGGGCATATTGGACATGGACATATTGGAGAGAAAAGCCTATGAAGGGCCACAGAGATGATGGAGGGACTGAAGCATCTCTTCTATAAGGAAATACTGAGAGCTGGGACTGTTCAGCCCAGAGAATAGAAGGCTCAGAAGGGATCTCACCAATGTGTACAAATACATGAAGAAAAGGTGCAAAGAGGATGAAGCCAGGCTCTTTTCAGTGGTGCCCAGTGACAGGTCCAGAGGCAATGGGCACAAACTGAAACACAGGAGGTTCGCTCTGAACTTTAGGAAACACATTTTTACTGTGAGGTAACTGAGCACTGGCACAGGTTGCCAAGGGTGGTGGTGGAGTCTCCATTCTTCGAGATATTAAAATGCCATGTGCACATAACCCTGAGCAACTGGCTCTAGGTGGCCCTTCTATAGCAGGGATGTTGGGCCAGGTGACCTCCAGATGTCTCTTCACACCTCAAACTGTCTATGATAATACAGCTATTCTGGAAACCTAAAAGACATCTGGATACTAGCCCATACTGAAACATCTGCCATTCTTTATTTTAGTTATCCATGAAATCTGAGGCAAAGCTAACGTAGGTATGTCTGCTGATGAGAAAATGTGCAGTCTTTTGACATGCAGACATTTTCTCATTTGAATATAGTGTGCAGTAGGCTTTACAGTGAGGAGCTCAATAAACAAACGAGTATGTACATACCTACGAGAAGCACACAGCAGCTAACAAGGCAATGAATATGTGATAACTGAGCCTTGTTATGCCTAAAACATGTCGTTCATTACATTGTCATGATAAATCAATACTGGCATGGCAGTAAGTTCCTTGAATAATAAGATTTTCTAATATTTTATTGAACAGTTATTTGTTAATTAACATCTCAGATTACTATTTTTCCAAATGCCAGTGATTGTCTTCATTGTAGCATAAATTATTTGTTTCATTTTTTGGCTTTTACAGTAGAATAAGCACAGATGGCAACGCTCTCCTGGGATGTAGGAAATCCATCCCAGGTTAACTTCTTCTCTTTGCCTGAAGCACAGTAGTGTCTTGAATTAAGCCTCCCATCTCATGGGAGAATGCCTTAATCTCCACCTAGGACATATACCTGAATGGTATGGCTTTCAGTTTCTCCTTCTGACACTTTTCTATAGATATTTTTTTAAGTACAGGTTTGAACCTGAATGTTCTCCTCTTCAGTTGAATGTGTTCCCTATCAAGCAGCAATGTTATGTGCACTCATGATCCAAAGGATGTTCAATTCACACAAGTGGATTAGCTTTAACAGAAGAGATTGCTAGAAATGATGATAGAAAAGGTGATCGAAATGGGTGTTTGGCGTATGCCAGGAAGCAATCATTACTGTTTCACTATGAGTAAAAAGATGGAGTAAATAGAAAAAAGTAGAGAAATGTCATTGTTCCCACAGTTTTGGAGGATGGCATTTAATGATTCCAGATCCTCACATCAAAACAGTTTATTTTGGATAGCTCGAACAAATTACATTTCTAATTTAAGGTATTCAGCTTTCACCACCAGACCCTGTAAGGTGAATTTTACTTAAGTTCTTTAATAGATTGTTACCTATTAGTTACCTCATTGATCTTACAGCCCACATCTGTAATCAGCAGAGATCTAATCAGTAGTCATTGGAGTTGTGAAATGGTTTTAGTAATACCTGGTTCAGTTCAGTTGGCTAAACGTAAGTGACTAGTGCTGTTTGAGTTGCACAGGGTTCCTTCCTTCACCTCCAGCTGCTGTTCCATAGATCTGTACAGATATCTTGGCATACTGACAGAAATTCTCAACTTTTGTCTCTAGCCAGAATAAACTGGGATCCGTCCGATCCTCAGATCATATCTGAAGGCCTGTATGCAATTGCGGTAGTATTGAGTTTCTCCAGAATAGCCTACATCTTACCAGCTAATGAAAGCTTTGGACCACTGCAGATATCACTTGGCAGAACTGTGAAAGACATCTTCAAGTTCATGGTGATATTTATCATGGTGTTTGTGGCTTTCATGATAGGCATGTTTAATCTCTATTCCTACTATCTGGGGGCGAAACAAAATGAAGCATTCACAACGTAAGTACAACTGATTAAGCTGTGATGATTGTTGGCTATTTTTATGGAAAGCTGGTTGCTTGTGCTGTATATTATTAAGTTTTCTAATTGTTTTATAAGGTTTGCACCTCTTAAAAGTATCTTTGTCTTGGATTAAGTGGTAATTTTCTCTCTTGTTCTGGAGCTTAAAGAATATATTTGAAATCAGAGGATGAGCTTTTGATCCCAACAATACTATTATAAATCAGGAAAGACAGTTTGGGAAAATGTGATATAGTTGCCCTTTATGTGAGAGAGCAGCAGTTTTTGCCTGTGCCTGTGCCTGGGGATAGACGATGAGCCAGTGAGATCTTATAGGTCAGGATTAGAGGGCAGACCAACATGGGTGATGTTGTAATGAATGCTTGCTACGGAATGCCTGATCAGGAAGATGAAGTAGATGAGGCCTTCTTCAGACAACTGGAAGAAGCCTCACAGTTGCAGGCCCTGATCTTCATGGGTACTTTTAACCACCCTGATACCTACTGAAGGGACAACATAGCAGGGCACACGCAATCCAGGAGGTTTCTGGAGGGCATTGACAATGACTTCCTGACACAGGTGATTGAGGAGCTGAGCAGAGAGGAGCTTTGTGGCACCTGGCTTTTACAAACAAGGAAGAACTGTTTCGGTATGTGAAGATTTGGAACAGCCTTGACTGCTCATGAGATGGTGGAGTTCAGAAGAGAGGATGCGACAAATAGCAGAACCACAACTCCAGACTTCAGGAGGGCAGATTTTAGGCTGTTCAGTGAAGAATCTCATGGGACAAGGCCCTTAATAGAAGGGCAATCCAGGGAAGCTGCTTAATTTTTGAGAATTGCCTTTTCAGTGCTCAAAATTGGTCCATCTCGATGGGCAGGAAATCAGAGAAAGTTGTCAGGAGGCCTGTATGGATGAAGAAGAGTGTCTGGTAGGCCAGCTGGTTGTGATGCCATTCAGAAGGACCCCAACAGGCTGGAGAAATGGGCCGACAGAAACCTCGTGAAGTTCAACACAGGGAAGTGCCATGTCCTGCCCCTGGGGAGGAATAACCTCAGGCGTCAGGACAGGCTGGGGCTGACCAGTTGGAAAGCAGCTCGGCAGAAAAGGACCTGGGGGTCCTGTTGGAGGCCAAGCTGACCATGAGCCAGAAATGTCCCCTTATGGCAAAGCAGCCTAACCTCCTGGGTTGCATTAGTGTGAGAAAGCTTCTAAAAAACACAGAAGCACCTCAGAGCCCTTACACAACACTTTACATATCTCAGATGACCTCTCAGTGCAATCTGTAATAGCACCTCATGCATCCAGTTTGTTCCTGGGGTTTTTTCAGCGATTTCAGGCCATGGGCTGGGTCAGACCCTGGGCCTGCAGGACAGCATCCTGCCTGAGAGGGTGCTCAGCACCAGTGCTTCAGAGCACAGAGTAGTGGCTCCCTGCAGCATGTGGGAGAAAAGCTGGTTCCTCCATCAAGCGCCACTGTCATCTGTAATTGAAGCATGATAATCACTACAGTGTGATACTTGTCCTTTAATTCAGACAACTCTGTATATTCTTACTAGTAAAAATTATCTAATCCTTATCTTATGCTTTGACTCTCCATAGTTTCCAATGACAATAACCTATTCCATCTTGAGAAGAGAAAATATATTCCTTTTTTTTTTTCCACTCTTTATTTTCTTAGCTGGTGTTTTTTTTCTTCACCCACCATAAGAAGAAATTCCAACTCTGTCAGGAGTTATTTGGTATGCATTTGTCATGCTTCTCATTTCTAGCTGTGATTTTAAGATAAATCACTTGAGTGGAAACTCATTCTTTTCCATGCTCTGCAGCCCTTGCCCACTTGATTTCGGGCTGTCGTGATATTCAAGCTATAGGTGTTATGAAGTGTACTCAGCCAGGAAGCAAACCTGGCCAAGAGGGAAAAATTTGTTACTAATAATTTATTATTACTAGTTCAAACAATAGATAAAGTACCTAAAAGTATAACTCATAGATTGAATACTGATAAAATATTATGAGCAGAGAAGTAAATTCACAAGTGAAAATTACAAATTTATTTTAGCTTTTTTTTCTTAACAATAACACAATAAAATCCAAAATGTGCTTAGCAATGCTAATATGTTTTTGGACATGTGGAACCGAGATTTCTTCATCAAAGCAAGACAAAATATGTCCTCAAACAGATTGAGATAGATAGAAAAAGATACCTCAGAGGTTTGAACTTATGTTTATGTGTGTATATATATAGATATAAACTGATTAAGAGGAAATACATGTATTTAAATGAACTAACCTGAAAAAAAATCAGTATCCCACACCATGGCGTGTTACCTTTAACCTGGTCTTGTAGTGTTGTGAAAATTCAACTGGTAGGATTATGGTCTGTGAGTCTCATTCTTTGAAAAATGCCCATTTACAGTCAGACATCCTGTTTCAGAATGTTAGTCATATTAATGGTGAAATATTTGATACTAAGTGAACTAATGGTGCAATTAAAGTATTTACAAGTTAATTATTTTTGTTATTTACATTCACATTACCATCAAGCATGCAGCATGTAGATTAAAGCAGTTAACAAGTGAATCATTGTAGTACTCTCTTGAGGATGTATATATAATTCCTAAACTGCATCAGATGGCTTTATTGTAATTCTTAAATACTAGGAATCATCTATTATGAAACAGCCTGTACCTATGAAACTAGTCTATTTGTTCTGCATAAGAGTTCTACATTATGATAATGGAAAAATTTGTACACTCTATAAAAATGGTAACTGTCAATTTATACAATTAGAATATACTTATTCAGTATAAAATATATAATAAGAATATGTATATTCAGTAACATATGCCTGTGTTAAATTTCTCCTTTTAGTGTTGAAGAAAGTTTCAAGACATTGTTCTGGGCTATATTTGGACTCTCAGAAGTTAAATCAGTTGTCATCAATTATAAACACAAATTTATTGAAAATATTGGTTATGTCCTTTATGGAGTCTATAATGTTACCATGGTCATTGTTTTACTGAACATGCTTATCGCAATGATCAACAGTTCATTCCAGGAAATTGAGGTAAAAATTCCATTTTATGATGAAATATCACCACATTTACTGTTATACCTAAATGTCTAAATCTCCTGGAAAATCTTCCTTGTTGACATCTTATCGAGAAAAATAACACAAAGGCTTTTGGAATATATTTGCAGAAAATATTAATTCCACTGTACGTTTTTAATATAAAATACCTGGAAATTACCCAGCTGTATGTGCTTGCAATAGTAAGAACTAGAGTGGACTAAGAAACTGCTGAAGTGTGTTGTGTTCCTGAGGAGGATGGGCTGCATTGTGTGACTTTGTGAATCTGTCCTTTGCCTCATTTGTAGTTGTTATTTCAGTAGTGTCCCTCTTGCTGCAAAGTTTATTCCTCTGCCTTGGCCTTGGAAGCAAGTCTATAACATGCTGTTTTCTTCTTTTATTTGAAAAAGTGTTCCTCTGGTCCTCTGTAGTGAACAAAACTTGATGAATTAATCAGCAGGGCTAATGAAAGTCAGCATGAAATTTTGCATGCCATGGGAAGCAGAAGGCTAAATCATTATCATTGTCTAGAAAAGAAGGAAGGAGCTAGGTCATCCCAGCCTTTCCCAGGTGATGCCCTTGTCACAAAGCAGCAGACTCTGGTTGTTTGACACTGCTCTGGTCCCAAGTTTTGGGCTCTGGTTTGTGACTGTAGTGATCTTGAGCATCTTGAGCAAAAGCAACATATACTGTAGGGAGGTTCAGATTCTTCTTACTCAGGAGGTCACAGAACAAACTATAAGATTCAGAGCAATAAAAAACAGGCTATTATTCAAAAATATGGTGACTAGATACAAACAGCTTCTAAATCCAGCTGCAGCAGTATTGAGTCACATCCTTGAACGTGACATCAGTCCTTTCTGCAGAAAATCCTCTTGAACTTTACAGGGAGGAATAAAGTGAGTGTTTTGGCTATCGTAAATGTTAAACATAAACCATGGTGATGATAGCATACCTGATTCAATCATATATTCCAGCAAATGGAAGGAATTAGGTAAGAATTTTTTAAAACTGTTTTTTTAGCTTTTTAAAGTGTTTTTTTTTCTTTAAACTTGAAGCTAAAAAAGAGTAAAATTGTCATTTAAAATTCCAATAATGTGTCTTCTTCAGAAAAAATATAATAGACTAATTGTTGGGGAGCAGTCATAAGCGGTGTTCCCCAGGGCTCAGTTTTGGGGCCAGTTCTGTTTAACATCTTTATCAAGGATCTGGATGAGGGGATTGAGTGCTCCCTCAGCAAGTTTGCAGATGACACTAAGTTGGGAGGGAGTGTTGATCTGCCTGAGGGTAGAAAGGCTCTGCAGAGGGACCTGGACAGGCTGAATCAATGGACTGAGGCCAACTGTATGAGCTTCAACAAGGCCAAGTGCCGGGTTCTGCACTGCGATTGCAATAACCCCATGCAGCGCTACAGACTTGGGGACAACTGACTGGAAAGCTGCCATGCAGAAAAGGACCTGGGGGTGTTGGTGGACAGCAGGATGATCATGAGCCAGCAATGTGCCCTTGCTGGCCAAGAGGGCCAATGGCATCCTGGGGTGTATTAGAAGGACTGTGGTCAGTAGGTCGAGAGAGGTTCTCCTTCCCCTCTACTCTGCCCTGATGAGACTGCATCTGGAATATTGTGTCCAGTTCTGGGCCTCTCAGTTCAAGAAGGACAGGGAATTGCTTGAAAGAGTCCAGCGCAGAGCCACAAGGATGATTGAGGGAGTGGAACACCTCCCTTACGAGGAGCGGCTGAGGGAGCTGGGTCTTTTTAGCTTGGAGAAGTGGAGACTGAGGGGTGACCTCATTCATGTTTATAGGTTTGTAAAGGGCAAGTGTCAGGGGAAAGGAGCCAGGCTCTTCTGTCTGATGTCCAATGACAGGACAAGGGGCAATGGTTGCAAACTGGAACGTAGGAAGTTCAATCTGAACATGAGGAAAAACTTTTTTACTGTGAGGGTGACAGAGCACTGGACCAGGCTGCCCAGAGAGGTTGTGGAGTCTCCTTCTCTGGAGACATACAAAACCCGCCTGGACGTGTTCCTGTGTGACCTAGTCTAGGTGATCCTGTTCTGGCAGGGGGATTGGACTAGATGATCTTTTGAGGTCCCTTCCAACTCCTAATATTCTGTGATTCTGTGATTCTGTAATTGCTACAGAAGAGTCCAATGAGATAAGAAATCAGAACTGGTAGTCTCATTGAGAGGTTTACAATTTTGTTATGTTAATGTAGAATTTTTCCATTTTATTTAGTGAACATGACAGTGTTCCAAGCAAGGACAACTCAGGCAAGCCCTAATAGATGAATTTTGGGTGTTGCTGTGAATCTTTAAATTGGGCATTTCATTGTGTGCTTTTAAGTCAGAGCTTTCCTTCTTATCTTAGAATCATTAGGGTTGAAAAAGACCCTTAAGGTCATCAAGTCCATCAACTCAACACTACCACACTGTTTATCAGTGTTTATCAGTGTCTTTAGAAAGAGCACCAAAGAAAGAGGTCTGTCTTTGTGATCCTGTATTCCAGACTATAAACACTCACTCTGGAGTAACCAATGTTTAAATCAAATCACCTTTGTTCTTCTGTAATTGCATTTTTTAATGGATTATTAAGCCAGTTACAATCAAAACACACATAAAGTTTAGCTAAAGCATCTTTAATAGTTAAAGTGTTATTAACAGTGTACTAACAGACATGTTTCTGTTTTACAGGATGATGCTGATGTAGAATGGAAATTTGCAAGGGCTAAACTTTGGTTTTCTTACTTTGAAGAAGGGAGAACTCTACCAGTACCTTTCAATTTAGTGCCAAGCCCAAAATCTTTGCTGTATCTCCTACTCAGAATGAAAAAGTGGATTTCTAAACCATTTCTGTGCCAAAAGAAAAGCTTTCAGGAAGATGCAGAGATGAACAAGGTAGTTGTATACTGTGTATACTGACTGCTAATTTTAAAAGATAAAACTGATTTTAACTTCAGTTTTCTTCTTGACTTATTTTTCTGGTTAATTTCCCAACGTAACCAATACTGAAGTCAGTCATTATGTACAGGCTGAAATTCATGCTTTGTTTTTAAAGATAAGGTATTTCTCTACACCTGTAATCAGTTAAGTCCAAAAACATCATTGCAAATTTACAGTTCTTCCTGCTTCTTGTGACAGAATCAGAGAGTAATTCAGGTTGGAAGGGAGCTCAAGAGCTCTCTGGCCCAACCTCCTGCTCACAGCAGGGTTAACTCTGAGGTCAAGCCTCGACCTTCCCTAAATGTGCTGTCACTAAATCCCCTGCCCCACTGAGCAACAGGCCCGTGTTTTCCTTTTTCAGCCTTATACTGCTATTGTAGTGGTAGAAGCTCTTCTTACTGCCCTTGCAAATGTCAACTTAAGGTGAGCTTTATCTTTCCTAACAGCACCCTCACAGGCCTGGGCAGTTTCTAAATTCCCCCTTTGTAGCCTGTCTCTGCTTCCACTGAGAATGCAGCCTGCTTTGATTGTAAAGCATTCTGTTATCTGGTTTATTTACACAACAAGTCCAGTAAAAGGCACTTGAGGTGATACATTGCTGTATCCCATGGGCTTATTTAAAGAGTTTATAGTCAGTCTGGTTTTCCTGCAGTGTCTTGGTATAAATTAATTGCTTTACGAAAACATGGGGTATAGCACCTGGTGTTAAATGGTGCTGGAAGGGTGAAGAGTAGAACCGTTGTAACATGTTAGGGGAGAAGAGCTTTGCAGGACAACTGATCAGGCTTAGTGAGCAGGAAGGTGAGCATGTGGTGACATTCACATAAACCCAGAAATTGCAGGTTTTCATAGTGGCAGAATCAAATGTGTCATTTGTGGAACTTCTTAATATGGGAGGATCTTTTTTAAAATAGGCAGCAGTCTTAGCAGAGACCTTAGATAGGAGTTCCTGAGTCTCCAGTCAAGAGTCAATAGACTGGAGATCAGTAGAGAAATTACATGCATCTGTGAGCTCTCTGTCACCAATGTGACAAGCACTTTGCCATCACACTGTCACAGGGGTTAAGATTGTTATTAACTTCAGATACCTTGTGTGTACTAGGTTTAGTTTTTCTAACATTTCACAGATCTCTCTTCATGTTACTTGGGACACCTAATCATAAGGTGTTTAAGACTTATCAGAGGTGATGCTGCATTTGTTCATGTTTTTCATGACTCCAAAATTTGCAAATTGGTTTCATAACTTCCATGAGCAATAAGGTCATTCCTGAAAAACCATAACTTTGGGGAGATGCATATAACCTTCAAACTGGCCTATGCTGAGAAACAATAAATTAAAGGATATTTTTTTTTTCTAATTCCCTTCATTTGTGACTTGAAAAGCACGTAAGTAAGTTATAAGCTGATTTTTAATGACTTTTTAAGATGAAATTCATGTTCCTATAAAACAGGTACTCAAAAATTCCATTCTTGCACACTAAGGAACTAAAATGGATTTTATCATTCCTTTCCAAAATCATATTCAAACCTAGCAATTCAGATGGCTAGAAAGGTGCAAGTTGTAAATTACCAGTTCTAGATAAAACAGTAATAATTGTGTCTGCTTTTACAGCAGTCCCTTTCAAAGAGAGCTGTGAGGATGCAACCACGATTTATCAGACTTTTTCCTAACCCTGAATTAATTCTTAGTCTTCAAATATTAATGCTTTCCACTTACTGCAGATTGTAGTATAACTAATGCTAAATGAAATGTGCTTACTCCCCAGTCGAAGGAGCTATAAAACTGCAAATCAAATAAAAAAAAAAAGGTTTTACGTTGAAAACATAAAGCAGATGAATTGCATCTGTTCATTCCTCAGCTTTTCCAGCAGGGTGATTGATACTGCCAGATGATTACATTTTTCCTTACCTTTTGGACCACCACATACTGTGGAGCTGACTTTGTCTGAATCTGTCAGATACTGCCATCCTTCACATTTCTAAAAAAGTAAATAAAATGTTTTTATGTCACATTTTGACTCACTGTTGATGACCTGTTATTGTTGAGGCTGTTTTATGGCACCTTCTCAAAGGCATTCTCAGGCTTTTTAGGTTTTGACTTGGGACTCAACCTGTGACTGCTGAGCAAGGAGCTACTTTAAACACAATGAGCTGTGCAAAGATAAGAAACTATTTGGCAAGACTGGTCCCAAGACTTGGTGGCTGTATCTGTGCTAGTAAATGAAATGTGACAGGGAGCTTATCTTGGCACTGAGGCCAGATCAGGAGTGGCTTGCCCCTATTCAAGCAGTTTTCCTCCCGAAGTAGGGTTGCTGCAAGCTGTTGCCCCCAGACCATTCCAGTTGCCAGACTGTGCCTAGGGAGGGAGCCAGTTGCTCTGGTGCCAGTCCTAGTTGGGAGAACACTGAAAGTTTACTGATAGAAGACATTGCACTGCCGTATCCAGAAATATTAGCACATGCTTGAGTGTACTGATTCAGACCCAGCCTATGGGTCTTTGCTCTATCTACAGAGCCTGCATCTTCTCAGTGCAAAAGCAGTAGCAGCACCAAGGTGAGTGTAAAGACAAGAATTAAGATAGAAAGGGGGGAAATTCTTCCTCTGTCCTGATTGCTGTTGGCAGAAAGCAAAGCCAGATGCCAGCAATACTGAAGGGCGAGTGATTTACATACCTGTGTTCAAAGTGCAGCACAGCAGAAACTAATTTCTTGAGACACAGCTACATGTAATAATAGAGGCTGTGAAGATGTTTTCTTTCAGGCTATTAATTAAAACTCACAGATTTCTTCTGTTTCAGGCTAGAATTGATGTTTTAAATATCAAGGGAGCAAGACACTCAAACTAACATAGGGGATAAATAAATTAAGAAAAAGGAGAGTTTTAAAGAAATTTACTTTGAGTTTTATTCTAAGTTGAAAAGTTGCCTTTTGAATGAGAAAGTTTATGGTTTAAGAGTCACAGAACTTGTTCATCTTCCTGAGCTGAAAACCAGTAGTGGCAGATGATGTATTTAAACTTTTTTCTTAAAACATGTCTCTTCAGAATAGAAATGAGGAACAACTCATTACTGAAAAAGCTTTAAAACCTCACTCAAACAATAAAAATATGTTAAGTTTTACTTTCTTAGTATAAAACAATGTTTCTGAAGTTTTCATAAGTGACCTCTGGGTCTGTGATTGCAAGCTGAGTCATTTTCAGGAAACTCCCTTCTGGCTCAAGTGTGTACCATTTACTGGCATTCCAACTTATCAGCTGCTTCTGAAAACTGGGATTTAAGATGTTAACAAAGTGCTACACAAAACAGCTACAGTAATTACATTTCTATTCTGATTGCATCGAAATCTAAGTAATACTAGAGAATGACAAAATGAGAAGGAAGTATAAAGAAAAAGCTGTTTTCTAAGAGCAGTGTTCTGTGTATGCTGCATTTCTTCTTTCACAGAACACTCCTGGAGGGGAGTTATTTTTTTTAGGGTTTATATCATAGTTTTATTTAAATTGCATCTTTTTTCCTGCTCCAGTTACTCATATGCAGATATACAGTAGATATTAACTTAAAAATATGAATCCTAGTTCAGTCATTAATGTGACAGGCTGAGTTTACTCTAGTAGTAATTTTTGGGAGAGGAGAATGCCATAGTCATCACCTAAAAAAGTTTTAAATTTTTGTGTAAAAATGAAGTTATAATGAAATCTTGGCAATCTCTGCCACCAAGTGGTCATTCAGTGACATACAATAGATGTCCTGTCCTATTCCTGTTACGTGTGCATATTCAATGATGTTACACACTTCTGATTTACCTGCCAGCTTTTAAGATGCAGTCTGTAGTTAATTAAAGTCAAAATATTGTGTTCAAAAAATGCAGAGTTCTAAAGGGTCAAAGTTAAGCTAAAGGTATTACAGTGTGTCTGGTCTTACAAGTTTGCAGTGTCTCTCTGCTCATTTCACCACATATTAACGATTTTGCTATTTCAAGTGAAAATCAAGGTTTAGTTAAGCATTGGATTAAATTTTGAAGTGAACCACTGTAACGTAAATTTGAAACTGGTAAGCAGCATGGCAGATTACATTTAAAAACCATTATAGAGTACACAATAAATATTAAAAATACACAATAAATATTGAAATACACAATAAAATTAAATGCATTTGTAGCTCATATGTAAACTGATCAGTAACGGGATCATGAATGGTATCACGATTGCAGAAAAAGTCAGAAAGGCTGGGACACACAGGGCTGAAGCCCAAGCTCATGCCCCAGAGCATCTTTGGCCAGGGAGACTTTCCTCTGCCACTGCAAAGGAAGCTAGGAGCTGAAAAAGCAGAAATATATTTTATATTTTAATCTAGTAATAAAGGTGAGACCCAAGAGAGTATTATTAGTTTGAAATCCTGAAAGATATAGTGATTACACAGTCATGTAAATGCACTAGCCACTATTTTTTATTATAAATTGGATACATAGTTTAAGTTAAAATGTTAAGTTAAACTTATGTTTTCTAATATGCATTCAAAACATTTAAGGTAGCCTTATTCAAGCAAGAAAAAGCAACGATAATTTGCCCTTTTTGTACATCTTTAATTCAATTTCCATCCAAATTCAGGTTAATATGTTAGAGATAAATATTCATTATTTATATATGTATATATTACTATATATCTTCTGTCAAGATTTACATCCTTAGTGTTTTATCGGGTAGTGATGCCCTTTCCTTTCAGCACATGTAGTAAAGAAGATGCCAGTCAAGAATACCAGCTGATAATTTCGTCATCTCTATCACGAACTGCATAACCGACTACATTCAGCTATTAATGCGAGTGAGGGGAGGCGCAAACTCCTTGTGTATTTTGTGGTAGCAAAGGTCACATTAGTTATGGGCAAGTGCTATGAAAGAAAGGAAAGGGGCAATGCTGCCTCTCTTCCTTCTTTGGCTTCTCCCCCTCCCTGCCCTGACTCTCATCTCTTGGCTACAAAGCTGAGCCGCATCAGTGCTGCCTTCCTGCTGTGGAGGATCCCTCTCTGGTGCACCCAAGGCTCAAGGGAAGGCCCATGGGGTGGTGGCTGCTCTGCTCTGGTCCTTGGGTGTGGTAGGAGCAGGTGACAGGCAGAGAAAAGAGAGAAAACCTCCCAGGTCTCGCTTTCCTACATCTCGGCCCAAAAGGGTTTGTTTCAGGTCTTGTGATGAAATTCTGCACGGGTATGAGGACTTTAACACAGTAATTTAATACTCCCCAAGTTGAGCTTAACAGTTAGTGCTCTGTCATATGATACATGCAGGAGGTATTTTAACCATATTTTTCTATTTCTTTTGTACTATAAATAATGTTTCCATTTCAGCTTGGTCAAAGGAAGCAATCAAGTATAAGAAGCTCAGATGAAATTCACTTAAACAGTTTAAACAATCCTCCAAGGCAATACCAGGTAAAAAACAGTTTATTTTTAAACAAAATCAAGAAGTAGTAGAACTGGTAGACTGACAGCATAAGGACAGTTTTGAATTTATGTTATACATAGTCTGTGGATTTATTTTGTTTATATCAGAAATAAATGCAATGATTATGTATTTGCAGTACAATCTGAGGATTTCTCTCCTCTTTGTTTCTTAAATGCTACCCTTATAGTGCAATATTTTGAAGTGCTTTAAAAACTGTTTCTAATTTTAAAGACAGATTGAGTCCTTAACTGCACAGTGTGAATTAAGAAAGCAAAAAAGAAACCCAAAGTCTTCCCCTTCCATCTGCTGTAGCAGCTCAGCTTTTTGTACTACACCTCTTCATTCTAATACCTCAAACACTGCAAATATTCTTGAGCCTTTATGCTATCAAAACAGCCTGTTTATTTTGCCTTCTAAACAACTGCAATGAGCCTTTGTGCAGTTAAGTACAAAGAAACCCAGCACAGTCCACATAAAGCTCAGCTGTTCTGGTCCAGAGAGTAGTCCTTTCCTTCCTGTAATACTACAAAACAGGCGGAAAGAAACAGCCAAGAGCTGCCTGAACAAGACCATCTGAATGCAAAAGGGTACGGAAAACAGGTGTACCTTTTTTAACTGTAAAGCAGAAAAAAGCTTTTCCCCTTGGGCAGGCTAGCACTGCTCCACTCTTACATTGTGCAGTGTCTGCACAAGTCTATTCCGAAAATCCCCTGACATTTTCCCAGCCAATTCCATTATGATGCAGTGTTAGATATTAAGATTATAAATTTATCCCATAAACTTGAGGTGGTGTGACTTTTTTTAAAAAACATTCTCGGATTAATAGAATAAACAGTACAGCGGCTGACCTTGCAAGCATGACTGTAGTGATGGCCTGGAACTACTAATCTGGGATGATTCACCTCACAACCACCTCTGGTTAAGTCTATTACTGTGGAGACACAAGCAGACCCATAAACCTATGGATATTTTCTATCTTGTAGTGAAAAACAAAAATTATTGTGTTGTCATGGGTTACACCACATGAAAATATTAAACCCAAAGATAGATCCTCAAATGTAATTAGATACCATGTTTTTATTCAAGTAATTTGAACTAATGGGAGAAGCAGAGGTGTAATTAATTTTTGTTGGAAAGGTAAAATTTACATCTAAATTTGCTGGCCTAGGTTCCCCTTATTATTAGCAGAGAAAGTAGTCATTCGAATGGTGGAATTAATTTGATTAGTTTCAGTTGTCTGAGGTGAACTGTGCTCTCAGGTTTGTTTTTTCTATACATAGAGGGAATTAAAGGTGACTGGCACAGATATGTATATTTGCATTAGAAAATAACTGTATTTGGTTAGATGGGTCCCAGCTGAGACGCTTAAATGACTTCTGAAATTGTGGGTCCAATTTTCTCGGAAGCCTCACATTGGGAAAAGATAACTTATCAAAAATAATATAAAAATAGATTAAAATAAACTGATGGCAAAAGCATTTAGTAATTAGCACTGCTCATCAGGGTCATTATTATCTTCTGGTAGCAATGAAGGCTAGATAGCTTCACCTATATGGAGATCAAAGCTGCACAAGTGTTAATTATTCTCATAGACTCCAATAATACGTTAAGCTTTGTAAATTATAACTTTTGTAAGATGTGTTTAGTTTTCTAACCTTCATGTATGTATGTGCAGAATCATAAAGTTTAAATATCTACTATAGATGAAGGCAGAGATTTTTGCATTATATTCCTTTAACCTGGCAAGTCCTACACTGAAACATCTGAATGCAACAGAAGGTAACAGAGTTCATATTTTGAAATGTCATAGCAATACTAGAAAGTCCAACTAAGAAAGCTTTTTCTTCTCTGCAGAAGATAATGAAGCGTCTCATTAAAAGATACGTACTGAAAGCTCAGATAGATAAGGAAAGTGATGAAGTCAATGAAGGTGAGTATGTTGATGAATTGTATGTTTATCTCTAATCAGAGAATTAAAACACACCAATTAAAGTGGTTACATACACCACTTGAAAAAACATTTCCAAAATAATTAATCCACTTGACCTACTTACAAGTGCAAGATGTAAAACTTGAAATTGAGGTTAAGGAAGAGACATGACTTTCTGTTTCCATTCTCCCATCAGAAGCTATCACTGATCTGACGATTTGATGTGAAAACTGTTGCTACTTCTAGTAATGCCCATGCAGTTCCCATGGGGAAGCTGCATTTAATGCAGCAGCTGCTTTGGGGCACTCCTGTATTCCTTGTGCGGGTATTTGTTCTTACTAGAGATTCATATATGGGGATACACATACTTCAGCATTTTTTTTTCCTGTGATTTATTAGCTGGAAACAGCTAGTGAATGCACTTCACAGAAATGTTCTCAACAACAAGCGATAGAATGAGAAAAAATGGTCTCAAGTTGCAGCAGGGGAGATTTAGACTGAATATTAGGAAAGATTTCTTCACTGAAAGAGTTGTCAAGCGTTGGAACAGGCTGCCCAGGGGAAGTAGTTGAGTCACCATCTCTGAAGGTATTTAAAAGATGCGTAGACGTGGTGCTTTGGGACATGGTTTATTGGTAGACTTGGCAGTGTTAGTTTTATGGTTGGACTCAATGATTTTAAAACTCTTCCAACATAAATGAGTCTATGACTCTATGATCTCTCTTGCAGCAGAACAGCACCTTCCATCTAATGGATCATTTGATTTTTGAGAACTGATGTGATCTCTCACACTTCTGCCTTCAGTTTTGTTTGGTTCCTGAGCAGCATCTTCATATTCCTATCCTTAAGCCACCATTCTTCAATGGGCAGCAGAACATCAACTTCTTTTGTTTCAACAAAGAAATCCAAAGAAAACCCTTGATAACTATGAGATACTTAGATATGCTGGTTTTTTCCCTTTGTTTCTTAATAGTGTGATCTTCTGATGTCTGTTACAGGTGAACTGAAGGAAATTAAACAGGACATCTCAAGTCTCCGGTATGAACTCCTTGAGGAAAAATCTCACAATTCTGAAGATCTAGCAGAACTGATAAGGAAACTTGGGGAAAAACTGTCAATTAACTCTAAGGAAGAAGAAAGCAAGAGATAACCTAGATGTTTAAGAAATGCAACAGAGCATTAACAATTCACTTAAAGCCATATTTCTGTTTTTCTCAAGTCTAGCTCACATTTCTGCAGCGGATTCAGAAATTAAATCATTCCAGTTCCTTATTGAAAAACCACAGTGGAAAATCCTCTAGTTCTGTGGTAGGGAGGAGATACCACTAGAGTAAAGATACTTATTTATTCTTTACGTGATAAAAAAGAGTTAATAGGAGATAATTTTAATATTCAATTTACCTCTTTTAGAATTCCACTGGAATCTGGATAAGCCCAGTCATGAAAGAGTAAAAGCATAAATCTAAACTTTTCGTACATTAACTGGTTATTTTTGCAAATTTCCTTTTTTAGATTCTTACATATATTTTAGTGAAGCAAAAGAGGAAAATTCCAGGCTTTTACATATTTCTGTCAAAAGCTGTTTCATTTTTCAAGCATTCCCAATTAGCATTAAAAAAAAAAGCTGACTGCCTTTCTTAAAAATGTGCAGGATATTGAAGTAACTTATTTGAACGTTTCCTTGAAGAGGCAGATATGAGCATACTCAGAGCACTGTGTTACACTTTTCCCTACTTATCTCAGTCATCACTGGACTATCCTGAAAGATACCTAGGTTCTAGTGGAAGACAGAGCATTAAGAAAGAAGTATTTTTCATCAAAGTTATTGAAAAGCTATTGCTGAGGCCTGAAGAAAACTTCTTTATAACAAAATAATTAATCCTTGAAGTTCCAGAATTCTGAAATTCTCCAGATGTTGTGTCTTGAAGTAAAACTCTCAAACTGTGGGCTAGGGGTTTTGAATGTACAGCTGGTAACGTGTCTATTTAAGGTGGAAGACACTAAAATATTAGGTGCAAACCCTCTCTCTGAATTCTAGAAATGTCATGCTTTAGGGACCATGTTTCCTCACAGTTAAACTTGCTTAAATCATTGAATTTTGTTCAGATCTGTCCTTAGCAAACAAAAACATGTTGTTCCAAAATTTCATGAGACCTTTTCTACGGATTGTCATCTCTTGTCCTTTTTACCACTGGAGAAAGCTCAGCTCTTGCGCTGAATTCCCTAGGTCTCCTTCAATGAAGAATCTTCACTGCATGTCATCAGCAGAAGCATCCAGCGCTTCCAGCCTACCCACTGCAATACTTCTTCTATGTCTCCTGTTAAACTGGAGAAGAAGTAGCCCATGCCATGTCTGGCTGGTAGGTGTGTGAGTGGCCAGCTAATACATCCATGCAGGACAGTCAGCTGGTTTCTGTTTCTCCAGATAGATACAGGGTAAACTCCATCCAATTTTTCCCTCATAATAAAAAATAAACTATTACTATAAAAATAGTAATTTGGGTTTCTCTCCTCTGACAGTTACCAATTCTGGGACTGTTAGATATACTACATTGGAGAACTCTGCTCCTTTTTCAGCTTGGTTGAAATTAGTGAAAGGACTGTGAAAAATTGTAACAGGAACATCAAGATAACACACCTGTAAAAGCCTTGTATGTTTAGGAAACAAAGCTGAAAATGGCTTGTCAGTAATTGCTTTTAAATTAGCTTTGTGAAACTTATTTATTGTGGAATGTATCAGAATGTTTCTGCCTCTCCCTTTTAGACTGGAGGTTATTTTTAATGGGTTTATATTAGTTTCTAGCTGAATTTACTCATAGTCTTTAAAAAAAAAAGTTGATTAAATCACTGTTTATTTTCAGGGGAAAAAGGGTATATTAGAACAGGTTTTGAAATCATGTGGAGACAGGTGAAGGCGAGGGGCTATGTCCTACCTGGAAAGCAATGGAAGCCACTGTGGAGGTCAGCCTGCCCAAGGGTGTTTGTCAGGGCCTGGGGGAACTGCTCAACCTCCTGCTTGGCCCATCAGTTTAGCTGCAAATGAAGCATGTGAAGCATGAATTCATGTCCTGTGGGCCTCAGGTGTAATGATTTCAGGGCTTAGAAACATTTAAGTCTTCTTCCCCTGAGGGAGGAGAAAGAAAGTGAGGTTTTCAAAAGTGGTAGAGCAGTTTGTACTAAAACCCACAGTGTGCTGGCCTGAAAAACTATGAGCTACAGAATAGCCAATTTCGTAACTTGCCTTTGATGATGAAAAAGCATTACCTCATAACCTGCAGTGTTTCCTGCGGAAATGAACAAGGGGTACCACAGACTCTGGGAAAACCTACTACTGGCTGGTCTTTGGCAGAAACACTCTGGTTCGTGTGTGGAAAATGAAGGCAGTTGAGGTGATCTCAGGCTGGAAGGCAGCATGATTGCAACTGCACTGCCTTTTGGCTCCTGGATGGTTCCTGCCCATCTCCTTTGGCCAGGACTGGCCACTGATTTTGAGTTCCCAGTTGAATACTTTGAGCCTGGTTTTCTGAAGTGGTGAGCACTCGCTACAGCTCCGTTGAGTGACTGCATTAGAGACCATACTGCTCGAAGCAGATCTTCCACCTTTGACCAAGCTCTTTGGAATATCGGTTGGTCAGAACTTGAGGTAACAAGGAGAGTCAAAGTTCGCTTTCAGTAATCAAAAATCTTTATTTTTTATCACTGTAACATACAATTTGGATCTGTGGTCTAGTGCTAGATGATGGTAAAACCTTCGATCTCCATAAAGCTAATGTAAGGAAATACATAAACGCAGTTTATGATCCAGGCACTTTTAAAGTGAAGATTTTTATTACTGAGGTAAAATGGACACTGTGAATTTGTTTAAGCCCAAATTTTGACTTACCTTAAAACTATAAGACTGTAATGTATATATTGTATTTCATGAAGAAAACACATATGGATTTTTTAAATTCAATGAAGATATTTTATATGTAGTTATTACTTATGGAACAATTTGTTGAATATATTTGAAGAGGTCTATTGCCAAATGTAGTGTAACAAGCAATGTAGTATTTGAAATGAGCACAATACCAAATATATTATTCTGATAAAAAAATTAAATGTACCAGACTCAAAATGTCTTTGTGATGCATTTTATGAATGTGTTGGTCCATCGCTAGGAACCTTTGGCTGCTCTTGCTTGGAAGGCAACAGCAAGACAAATATGTAAGAACTCATTAATTTGCTAGCAACACTAGTACAAAAAAAGGTGTCACGGAAGGAACAAAGGTCTTTTTGTAGTTGATTAGACTCAAAGTCAGGTATTTTGTCTGCTGTGACTTACTGTGACTGATGCTAGATGTTTCGG